TGCATAAATGTGTGCTAGGGTGATATCGCTACAATGTTGTGTTGATTCCTATGGATTATAAGGACTTGTAGAGCTGAGAAAATGCGGTAAGTCGAAATTTTCGAAGAGTGGTTGCGCAATTTTTTTTTCTCATTCGTTTTTGTCAGAAGGAAATGCAATACAAACAGATTATAGGTCATTGCTATTGATATAAACAGATTCTTCTATTTGTTCCCATCAGTTTGGTATATGACAATACATATTAGAGTAACTTAGAGCAGGGACAAAAAAACAAAAAAAAGAGTAACTTAGAGCTTCACAGTAATGCATTAAATAGATGCACCACAGGTCTAAAACTGAACAGGGAAAAATAATTCTGTCCAGAGCCTGAAAAAATCATGGACGGAATCAGTTAAGTAGACAATGAGAAAGGCACAATGACTTACAGGCTTTCGCAGTTTCGACCTAAAGTACTCGTACTTTCTCTTGTAGTCTCTGGAATAGGGAACAGCCTGCAAAAGGAAAAACAAAAGAGTTTACGGGCCATCTCACAATTATAGTCAGTTACAACTTTGCGATCACTTGGTGCAATAATGCGCCGTTGAGAATCATCCGCTCCGGTCACCTGGCCCGAGAAGTCCGTTGCAGTCACTCTCCTGGCTGGGTGACCAGATGGGATATTTTGTACTGCTGGCTGTGTGACTGCAAAGTGTTAATACATTTCCAGGGGCATACACACGCACACACACATACACATGCACACTCACACACTCTCTCACATCTATTCAGAAATGTAAAGCAGTTCACCACAATACTACACAATGACAGATTTCTTTCCAGGATCTTTTCCTAAAACAGAAGCTTCAAGCACAAATAAATTCAATATAACAGTTTTCGTAAGAGTTTTACAGCACTTACAACACAATAAGGCCATATAAGTGCCGAAGAATAGATGTGTTACCAGAGAGTCACATACTCAAAAAATAAGGAGGAGAGATAAGGACGATAGATGTTTGATAGGAAAGAAGGAGCAAACCCCACCAAAGCACCCGCCAACCACCCACATCACATAACAGTTTTCCAAATGTAAAGTCTCAAGTAAGGAGTCGTCTGAAGTAAGAAAACTGAGTGCCACAACAGAGAGCAGAACCAGTGTTTATTACCTAGATTGGTAGTGCCAGTCTTCAGGGATTTAACAGTCCTTAAAAAAACTTTAACTCTTTGAACCCCATCGGACGCTCGCTGGGAACGTCCGGAGGTAATAACCCTGTTCCCCATCGGACGCTCACTGGGAACGTCCGGCGGTAATAACCCTGTTTCCCATCAGACGCTCGCTGGGAACGTCCGGCGGTAATAACCCTGTTCCCCATCGGACGCTCGCTGGGAACGTCCGGCGGCAATAACCCTGTTCCCCATCGGACGCTGGGAGTGTCCAGTACTAGCGACAACTGTGTTGCTTTACTTAGTGCTATATTTTGCTCCTTTTTCTGAACTATTTCCGATACTAGTTTTTTTAGTAATGACTAAGCCTTTGTTTCCGCTATTTAGAAGTTGGAAGCAAGCTTTTGGGGTTATACTGAGACATAGTGCACCAGGTTTAGGTGACCGTGGAAAAAAAAACTGCGGGAAACGGTAGAAAAAACTCAGGGCTTGAAGAGTTAAAAACCCAAAAGGCGTATAAAAACTACCAAAGCCTGACAGAGACACATGAGAAAAGTACTCACCGGTCCACCCAACTTGTGGAGTCTTGGATCTTCCCAGTGTGTAGTTTTATTATCTGAAATTTGAGAAAGAGAACAAAAAATATAAATACATATTTCTTTTAAAGAAAAAAAAAATGTACTTTTCCTCCATACTATCTGTACTTCAAAAACATTACAACTGAAGAGTATTGCATTTCAAATGTAAATCATGACAATTTTTCTAATACTTTAAACAATCATCACTAGTACAATACATATGTGATGCATCGTGGTGAAACCAGGCGCGCGTCAAAATAATGAAATAAAGAAATTGGCATTTTTCTGGCCGTCCGGCAACTTTTTAAGAATTTTCTTTTTTTGGCTCAACACCTTCATCGTCCATTTAAAAACACATTTCTGTGTGAATGTTACAGAAAAACCGTGACTAAAGGCACATGTTGTTGTTGTTGTTATCGATCCAGCAACAGCTGGGCTCTCGCCCTTCTGTCCAATGCCATGTAGTTAAAGGCACATAAAAATGTAAATTTTCAGTTACCAAGGACTCTCAAACTATAGAGGTCACATAACTTTGGCAGCCATTTTCTCACTGATTTTGCCTCTGAAATCAGGTGACCCTCACCTCCTTCAATCACAAATATTTCGATTTCTATTCCAGATAGATGGATATTTTTTTCTTCAACAAAGGCAAGGCAAATAAACAGGCTTTAAGATGATATCAATAACTCCAGATGCCCAAATATTGACGAGCGCCTGATTCCACTGCGTCTTAACATATATACGAAATACCTTAAGCTGTCACAAAACCCAAAGTCACACAATAATTTTATATATAAGTACAAAAAAACTAGAAAATCTTACTGTGATCGATGAAGAACACGCGTCCATCTGCGTGGGTCCTCTCTTCCCAACCAGGCTGAAAAAGAAAAGAAAAAAAACTCCCACGTTTAATTTCAGGGATTTCCATTTCTAGTTTTCATTCTCACAAAAGGTAGAAAAAGTACATTCATACACTTTACTGGATGCTGCGGAAAAATTATGATAACATTTAACCCTTTCCGCACGTCGTGTTTTACTATCGTATCCATACGACGTGGGGAACTCTGTGCCACCACATTCCAAAGAGGAAATTTACTCCTTAATATGATCCGTACACTTTGCATAGCAGTCTGTCAAAATGATTTTGAGTAATACTGAAAGTTTCAAAGAGATCTTCCAACTAGAAGTATTCTAAAATGTGAAGAATACAACCCCAGAGGTACAAAATGACCCCAGGGCGTACGGATAGGGTTAACCAACTCAGAACTATTTCCTCCAAAGAAAGGTTGAAAAACACAAGGTGCAAAATGCATTAAAAGAAAATCAAAACCCCTCTCTAAAGTACACTTTTTTCAAATTATCTAATTGAATGACAAGAATTGTTGAAAGATTTCATACATTTTCTACCACAAACGAATCTCATACCTGAGAAACTATATATAACCCTTGCTGCTCATTTACAGCAAGAACTGAAAAAACGGAATTCTCTTTTAACACTTTGCCATCTCATCTCGCCGATTGTTGGCGAGGTTTACCACCCAGTTTCTTTGGATTTTCCCTAAAATATGATGGCAAAGTGTTACAGATTAGATTATGATAATAAAGTGATGACTTGAAAGTCACAAGAGAAATTCTTCAATCAATATCTATTTAGGGAAGTTCATTAGAATTCCAAACTACTTACAGGCAGAGCCCCAAGGTTGTGCAGCAAGTCTTCTTGTGAGTTTGATCTGAACATGGGACTGGGAGATTCCACATTTCGCAAAGATCCACCTCTGTGTAACAGCTGTTTGCGTGGGTCTTCCTGTAAGGGAAAAGCATGGAAATAAAAAAGTAGTTTACGGACAATTGCCACAAAGTTAATGTGGTCTATTTGGCTGTTTATTGGGCAATCTGGCATATTGGTCAATAACAGGAAGTTAGGCCTAGCCTATTGCATTGTTAGGTACAAGTGTGTAAAGCAGAGAGAGTAAGTGTCAGACGAGTTCATTCTGGATTACAGCAGGTTAGAGGGAAGTGCTGCATTGCGGCAGAGGAGGCCTGCAGAGACTTTGGCGTGAGGAAAGGGGGAATGGCTGTTCAGAGCCTCAGTCTATTTCTGTGCTTGCGTTATGAAATTCCAACGCATCGGGGCCCCACCGCAGAGGAAAGGATCACACGATCTAGAAAGAGACAGGTTCGCCTAACCCTTGTAACTGTAAACACATCTCCGCAGGCAGACAAAAGGTTCGTGTTGAATATTCTTTCATGCACAAGTAGCAATAGTTTAATAGTCTGCTTACTTTTTTTTTGTAAAGTGCTTTACGGTGCTCGCAACTGCATAAGGTCATATGAGCGCCCGGGACACACCTAATATTTTCAGTTGGTAGGAAATATTGAATTTTGCGCGGGTGGCGACCGAAGCCTAATCTTATCGATTTTAGACCACTAAGGGATTTTTAACGTGCGCAACTTGCACACGGGCCCTCCGAGATTTTTCGCCCTTGTCCGAGAAGGCTAGGTGTAGATCTTTCCTACCAGAAGATCAGGGGTGTGGCAGAAAGACAGCAGTAAGGAGGAGCCAAGGAGTAACAGTAGAGAGGCTGCAGAAAGAGTCAGGAGCCCAGAGGAGGGGGCAAAGGAGGTGAGGGGGTAGGGGGCAGAAAGTGGAAATGAAAGCAGAGAACAGAACATTGCTAGAGAGCAGGAAAGGAGGTGAAAGGAGACAATTTTAGAGAAGAAAATTTTTTGGTCGCTACCCGGATTCGAACCCGGGACCTTTGAATGAGAGGCCAACACCTTAATCTCTAGGCCAGGAGAGCCCCCCCCCCCCCTGCTTACTTGACTTGGAGAAAACTCCAGTCAGTCCAAATGTTCAGCTTCAACGGTAGACATCTTTCTACCAAGCTTTTTGCTCAATTAGGGGAACGGAACATTTCATTTCTCTGGCTAAAAACATCTACCATTTTTTTCAAAACAAAATGAAGTTTTTAAAAACAAAGGCAATTGAACTATACCAAAGGCTTTTCAACTCAGTAACAGACAAAAGCATAAATAAAAAAGGGCTCATCCAACATAAACAGATTCTCAGCAATGTAGCTATGTCTGTCGCCATATACATTCAATGTATTTTAAAGCAACAAACTTCTCCCATTGTGCAGAGCCAAAGGATACTTCAGCATGTACAGAACGAGTTCCCAGAAAGTTTTAGTTTTAGTAGAGGTCTTTCGGCGCTTGCAACTGCATAAGGTCATATGAGCGCCAAGAGGTGGATGTCAACAGAGAAGTCCTTACAGGGAATCAGACTTACTCTGCTCACCTCTCTAGCTTAAAACAGCACAAAGTCTGCTTCCACTATCAAGGCACCCCGGAAGTAGCAGGTCACAAGAGTGTGATAAACATACAAAAGAAGTAGAGGTAAAATGACGATAGTAAGAATTTGGAAAGAAAAAGCAGCAATTAGCTGTTGCAGTTCCGGGATTCACATACCCAGCTAGTTGCCTTTGTGTTGTGGTCAATGTAAAACGTCCGTCCATTGGGTGCGATGCCGATGGCCCAGCCAGCTGGCAAGGGCTCTTCTTCTCCATCATCCGTTCCATCCTCCTGTTCAAGAGATAACGCAGTTTCACAATAACCAGTATTTACCATCCTAGTTTCAAACACAGTCAGAGTTGCCCTAGAATGCAGCTTTACAATATCAAGTATTTATGATCGTAGATTCAAACACACTAGCGACCACCTGTACAAAAGGTCACTACCCACTGTGTATTTTTTAAATTATCATAATACCCATGTCAAAGATGTCTGCTTACCTGTCTAAGACAAACACCTCTCTCCAAGACAATAGGTGGCCATCTTGGACAATTGTGACTGTACTTGTTTCAGCAACAACAGAGCACTCAAGTTACTAAAAGTTGTTTCATTGTTCAATAAAACAAGAGTTCACACCCGAAACGCTCGTCTTTCATTCTGATTTGCCATAAATTCTGCTATTTTAAAAAAAGTAAGTAGATCTTTATCTTAAGTCCCAACCGACGACATGTGACAGGATACATTGGAGGTAGGGAAGTACTCACATGGCTGAACAATAGATTACTGGCTCTTTCTCATGAACGCATCTCCAGTTCACAGACCACTTTATATTCAATAAACCAGTACCCAACTGGATTATTCATGGGTCACTTTTCGGATAAGGCAGGCTAAACTATGTGTGACGAAATCATTTAAAATAATTTCCAGTCTATTCGAATTCACGCTGCATCCTACCTATGCAATTGGAAAGAGAAGTGAAAGGAAAGAGTGAGGATGGAAGGAATCGATTTCATATGTTTTAAAACTCAATACAAGACATCTGATGTGTTTGGACCACTCTGTTAGACTCTTCCGTGTCAATGAATTCACTTCTGCTTCACTTTTAGACACGGTGGATTATTTTGACTTGGTTACATCGTGTTGACACCCTCGATTACTAATAAGATCATGTTCATCTGTTCACCTACTTTTTTTTTCTTCTTCAGAATCAATGGTATCTTAGGCAAAGATCACATTTTTTACTTCTTCAGCAGCACTGCAAACAGCACATTGTTGCCCAACCCATTAACAGCCCTGAAGAAGTCTTTCATTACAAGCCCCGAAGAAGTCTTTCATTACTAGCCCCGAAGAAGTCTTTCATTACTAGCCCTGAAGAAGTCTTTCATTACTAGCCCTGAAGAAGTCATTCATTAATAGCCCTGTAGAAATCTTACATTACTAGCCCTGAAGAAAGGTTTCACAGACCTACTAAGCACATAATAAAAGTAACAAAGTTAATCGGTTTGAAAAATAAAAGGAAAAATACTTACAGGAGCTGGCATGCTCCTTCTGTTGTGCTGAAAAAGAAATGAAAGAAAATGGTACATGTTATTAACTGGAGGAAGACTATTTTTTCACAGTACGGCAACAGTCTAAGAATTATTATATAAAAAGGACTTGCTTTAATAAGAGCTTTACGGCACTTGCAACACAAAAAGGTCATATAAGTGCCGAAGATTATAGAGGTGTTACAAGAGAGTAACAAGCACAAAAAAGGAGGAGGGGAGATAAATACCATAGATGTTTGATAGGAAAGAAGGAGCAAACCACAATAGAGCACCCGCCAACCACCCACTATGGCATATGTTATTAACTGGAGGAAGACTATTCACTGTAGGGCAACAGTCTAAGAATTATTCTACAAAAAGGACTGAAGACTGACAAAACTACAAAGACAGGAAGGAAAATATGTCCATAAAGTTGTTGGTACCTTTCAAATGTGTACGCTCTCGGAGGTACTCAAAGCAAGTTAAAAATCGTCATGAAAAGCCTTTCAACAATATATATTTAACGTTATATCTGTGTTCCACGATTGTTTACAAGTTCACATTTATAAAAATAACTACTAAACTAGACTATACTGAAACATAAAGAAGGCAATAGCATTTCTTTTAGACAATTTAATTCCATTTTTTTTTAAATCTCAATGCATTTGTGAACTAAATCTGCCCATGAGCAGGCAAACAACAAAACTTTTGAAAGAATATACTTTCGCCTCTTAACACTCTGAAAATACCTCACAGTCAGACTGTTTCCTTTGAAGACCAAAAAAAAAACCCCCTCAAAACCCAAAAGGTTAAATATATCAGCATGCTTCCCGGGAAGCTGAGAATGTTTCTGAGTGTTCTATGGTCTGCTGGGGTAATAATAAAGTGTTAAGAGCATAGAACTTGCTTTCGAGTCGGGACATGCGCTATACATATGTGAGGCAGCGTGGTGGAATCAGGCTCTCGTCAATTTTTGGGCATGTAGAGTTATTGGTATCATCTTAAAGCTTGTTCACTTGTCTTTATTCTTAAGAATAAAAATATCCATTTATCTTGAATACAAGTTGAGGTATTTGCGAAAGTGGGAGGTGGAGGTCACCTGTTTTCAGAGGTAAAATTAGTAAGAAAATGGCCGCCAAAGATTAGTTATTTCCTTAGCTTAAGTGTCCGTGGTAACTGAAAATTTACATTTTTTGTGCCTTCAATCTACGTTTTTTTATAAAAATTTCCACAGAAATGAGTTCTTTAATAAGCATGAAAGGTGTTGAGACAAAAAACAAAAGTTTGATAAAAATTCATATACCTGCGGAAAAATGCAAGTTTTTTCACTTTTATTATTCTGACGAGAGCCTGATTCAACCACGCTGCCTCACAAATGCTATTTATTATTATTATCTTCAACACAGGCAATAGCAAAAGGTGAAATACACCGGCAATAGCCTCTTGCATCAGCCATCAGCCACTCACCCGTCTCTCTTCTTGGACGGACAAGTCCGACTCGCTAACCGAGGACGTTATACTGATGGCATCATCTTGGCTGATGTGTCTGCGATTTCTGTAAAGCTGCTGTGCTTCTAGACTGCGCTGCCTCTGGACTTCCTGTGCTGAAGGGGTTGCTGCCGCGCTGTAAAGGAAAACCAGGAGCAAAAACAAAAAAACACGATTTTAATTATAATTTAATCAATGTACTTATATTAGTTTTAGTTTTAGTAGAGGTTTTACGGCGCACGCAACTGCATAAGGTCATATGAGCGCCAGAAGATTAGAGGTGTTACAAGAGAGTAAAAACATAAAAAAGAAGAAGGGGAGATAAGGACGATAGATGTTTGATAGGAAAGAAGAAGTAAACCACACCAGAGCACCTGCCAACCACCCACGTACTTATATTAACAAGAGTAAAACGTGGTCAAATCTAATGACACTACAAGAGAAGCTGTACGAGTCTACAGAACAACTGAACAGGATGGCCTAGTATATTATATGATAGACACCAGATTTCACTTGTGATTTCATCGAGAAGAAGATGAACAAGAGCTTTAAAAAAAAACCTTAACAAGTCAAAGAAGAGAATCACGTCCTTTTAAAGACCCAGCAAGTGCTCCAGTATTTTCATTGTGGTGTGAAGCACAAGAAACTACACCTAAACATTATTAGCATCTCTTTTTCTTCTTGCAACCGCAGCTAGAGTTGAGGGAGAAACTGACTGCAAGATCTTTGGTCTCACAGCGCATTTGATTTCACCTGCATATCAGTTTTATTTCCACAGAACATTGAAACATCCTTAGCTAGCCACATAGCGCTTTTGAAAGTACTGAGAATATTTATATCGTTTAAGTGTCCAAGCATCTGCTCTTGGAGTCTCAGAAGCCTAATCTAATCTAATAATATTTTTTTTTTAATAGCAGAGGGTTTTATCGTGTTCGAAACTGCATAAGGTCATAAGAGCACCCAGGGGTGGGTGTCAACAGAGAAGTCTTTACAGGGAATCAGACTTAGACTGCTCACCCCTCTAGCTTCAACAGCACAAGGTCTGCTTCGACTATCAAGGCACCCCAAAATAGCAGGTCACAAGGGAGTGACAAACATACAAAAGAAGTAGAGGAAAATGACATTAGTAAGGATCAGGAAAGAAAAGGCAGCTGTTCCCTGTTGTAGATTAGGCACAGTTATGAGAGTGACATGAATCAGCCCATTTACAATTTTACTATGCTTGAACGAGATATGTCCCCCCTTTGGGAATGGCCTAAAGACACTTCAGTCAGTGGCAGTGCCCCGGGGGTGAAGCCTTATCTGTACTGCAACAACTTGTTAATCCCTTCACTGCTGACCTATATTCCCCGCCCTATGCTGACTTTGTTTCCAGGAATAGCACCTCAAATGGGTGATCCCTTTAACAATTTGCCATCATATTTTTGGGAAAATCCAAAGAAACTGGGTGGTAAATGTTATTGGAGAGATGAATATTTGAGAGTTACGGGCCCATGAGACTAGGGGGCGCTGGGCGGGCCGAACAGAGTTGCCGCCCCGTGACACTAGGGGCGCTGAAACATGGGTATAAAGGCGAGGTGGGAATTCTGTGTGCCCCTTCTGATCCGTCTCAGTTCTGCTAGAGACCAGAGTGGCCGACGTGGTCGTAGCTACCGGCGAAGTGACCTCTGAGGGCCTGACGACGCGATCTAAGCCGGCCAGCGCAGGCGCGTCGCCACCTTGCAGATCCTCACATCTTCTCCTACCAGTGAGTTGACACCAGTCGGTAAGTACAGTCTTTCTACCTCGCAATCACAGTAAACATCGCCAATTGGTGAGATGAGGTGGCAAAGCGTTAAGGTGCTATTTACTCTGTGGTAATGCATCAAATGCACAACAATGTCTTATATCATTTTAAAAGGAAATGAATGAGCCGCAATCATCATCAGCAAAAATTTCTTCGATAGCTTGATACGTAGAGAGCATACACCGCAAGTGATCAGCCATAGCTCGGAGCTAGAGTGAGATGCTAGAACTGTGAAGAGAGAATGACCGTTCTTCTTCTACTTCTTCTTCTTCTATCCCGTGGTTGGGGCAACCGTTGGGGCACCACTGCATTGGAAAACCAGCTCTCGCCATCTATTTTTGTCCTCTGCTCTCCTCAGATTGTCACCCATCGTCGTTCCTGTCCACTCTTTAATGTTGTCCTCCCATCTTCTTCTCTGCCTTCCTCTCTTTCTCTTTCCTTGTACGGTTCCTTGCAGGATTGTTTTGGCAAGTCCTGTGGATCTTGTGACATGCCCATACCATTTTAGTTTTCGTCTTTTCACTGTGGTCAGTAGATCTTCATATTGTCCCACTGCGTTGGTGATTCTCTTTCGTACTTTGGCAGTGACCGTTCAGTGACGCTATAACTCACGCTATTTCGGTCATTGTTGGTCTAACTAGGACAAACTAACGCTTCTCTAACTCGGAAAGAAAAGGGCTTTCAGGGGATCCCACTTTCGATACTAAATTGCAATTACCGACTGAGAAGGAGGAAACGAAACTAAATAGCAATACTGCCAGGCCTACACTGTATGTCTACAGCGCATAGGAGGGCCCGATTTATGGACGTACATTGTACGCCGAGCAGCAGTGAAGCGGTTAAGCTGTAAAACCCCCCTTCAGTTCTCCAGAAATTACATAGCAACAGAAGCTAAGGCCCCCACCAAATTGACAATAGCCAAAAGGGTATAAGCGGTGGATAAAAATTTCGAAAAAAAAAAAAATGTTTGAGCAAGCATTATCAAAATGTAACAACAGGTATATCAGAGGACAAAAGATGAGCACACAAGCCAAGCAACAGTTCTCACCCAGTTGGTCTCTCCCACTGTGTAGAACGAGTGAAATGGTTGACATAATAGAATCTGCCGTTGGCGTCTGTTCTCTCCTCCCAGCCTGATGGCAAAGTAGAGGACCTGACAACAGCGGAGAAAAAAGGAAAAAATACAGTCAGAAAGCTGGGGAGTTGTCACTGTCAAACATGTTTAGCTTTAGTTTTAGTAAGTGTTTTACGGCACTTGCAATATATGTGCCGCAGATTAGAGGTGTGACAAGAGAGTAATAAACACAAAAAAAGGAGGAGGGAAGATAGAGACGATAGACGTTTGATAGGAAAGAAGGAGTAAACCACACCAGAGCACCCGCCAACCAAACATGTTTAAGGGATTTAACCCAATTAGTCAGTGTCCAGTTGTCGTCGTCCATTTTTCTTAGTGACCAACCGTAACTGTCGTGAGTTGTCTTCATCCTTTCGTAGTGATTACCCTTGTCAGTGTTGTGAGCAGTATATTTAGAACGAGACCATGTTGTCAGTGTCTCTTCCGAGCAGAACATGTGAACAGAGTATGTGCCAGAATCCATATAGAAAGAAACTAACTGTAAGCTGTGACTCTCTCTTCATAAATGCCATTGTACTTTTGCTGATTAAAAAAATCCCCACAACAGTCACTTTTTCAAGTTGACTTGGAAAACAAGGAAAGTTCATCAACTGAATGTCCCTTGGTAACTTTTCTTCAGTAACAATCTGTAGCAATACAAAGCTTTTCCAAAGACTGGTTTTTAAGTCTATCAATACAGAAGAAATACAGCACTTCAAGTGTCATGCCATCGAGGAGAAGAAGAAGAAAAAGTTGATCAATACAAATTTCTCATCCAAAGCAATATATCGAGACAAGAAACATTTGAAACAAACAGTAATTCAGTTCATTTTTAGTAAGAGTTTTACAGCACTTGAAACACAATAAAGTCATACAAGTGCCGAAGATTAGAGGTGTTACAAGAGAGTAACAAACATAAAAAAGGAGGAGAGATCAGGATGACTGATGTTTGATAGGAAAGAAGGAGCAAACCACACCAGAGCACCCGCTAACCACCCACAAACAGTAATTGAGTTTTTAGTTTTAGTAGAGGTTTTACGGCGCTCGCAACTGCACAAGGTCATATGAGTGCCAAGGGGTGGGTGCTAACAGAGAAGTCTTTCCAGGGAATTAGACTTAGACTGCTCACCTCTCTAGCTTCAACAGCACAAGGTCTGCTTCGACTATCAAGGCACCCCAAAATAGCAGGTCACAAGAGAGTGACAAACATACTTAAGAAGTAGAGGAAAATGACAATAGTAAGGATCAGGAAAAAAAAAGCAGCAGTTCCCTGTTGTAGATCAGGCACAGTTATGAGTGTGACATGAGTCAGCCCATTTACAATTCTACAATGCTTGAACGAGATATGTCCCCCCTTTGGGAATGGCCTAAAGACACCTCAGTCAGTGGCACTGCCCCGGGAGGTGTAATTGAGTTTACTCTGTTGGTCTGTTACTAAGCAATATACAGAGACGAGAAACATTTGAAAGAAACAGTAATTGAGTTTTGTTTTAGTATGAGTTTTACGGCACTTGCAGCACAATAAGGTCATATAAGTGCCGAAGATTAGACGCATTACAAGAGAGTAACAAACATAAAAAAGAAGAAGGGGAGATAAGGACGATAGATGTCTCATAGGAAAGAAGAAGCAAACCACACCAGAGCACCCATCGACCACCCACTAATACAAATTTCTTGTTTCAAAACAATATACTGAGACAAGAAACATTTGAACTCTACAGTAATTGAGTTTACTCTGTTGGTCTGTTCCACTGTGTGGTGCGACTGGTGTGGTTAATGTAGTACACTCGCCCCGTTGGGTCCGTCTGCTGCTCCCACCCAGGCGGCAAAGGCTCCTCGTAGCGGCCCGGCGGTGCTGCTTCTTCTTCTTCACCATCGTTTTGTTCACCGTTGTCCAAATGTACCATTTCCCAGCCAGGCTGCTTTAAAGTGGAATGTAAAAAAAAAAAATGTGAGGCATCGCGGTGGAATCAGGTGCTTGTCAATTTTGAGGCATGTGGAGTTATTGGTATCATCTTAAAGCTTGTACACCTGTCTTTATTTGAATGAAAAAAATATCAATTTATCTTGAATGCAAGTCGAGATATTTACGAATGAAGGAGGCCGGGGTCGTGTGTTTTCAGAGGTGAAATTAGCGAGAAAATGGCCGTCAAAATTTGGAAACTCCAACAGCTAAAGGGTCTTTGAAAACTGAAACATTACATATTTTGTTTCCTTTAATCAATGTGTGCAGTAAAATTCAAATTGAAATGGTTTTTATATGGACATAAAAGAGGTTAAGCCCAAAAAATAAAAATTCGATAAAAATTTCCACACTGGCGGAAAAATGTCTGTTTCTCCAATTTCGTTACTTTGATTATTATAGATATATTCTCTATATACAATTTACATCATTGTAACATGAAAAAGCTGAACTTTTTCAAGGTGTACAGCATTTGGTGTTTTATAGCGAAAGAGCAAAGAGACAGCGATCTGAATTACCCGGATTTCACTGAAACCACGCGCTCAGAAGGCCGCGAGGCCGTGTTTACGCTCCCTAGAAGAAGCCTGTATGAAGCGAGTGTGGAAACAGCATGCTAATGAATGAGAAAAGAGAATAAAGAAAGCCACCCAAAACGAAAACAGAGAAATTAAAATATTGCCACGCACGATATCAACGTGGCACGCAAGATGACGATGGTCGCTTTGCGAAATTAAGAATTCACGCTCGTTGAATTACATTTTCGCATACATCAGTGCCCAAGAAAAATTTCCTTGGAAGGCTCAAAAACCTGCGATTCCTCGATTCCGAGGAAGATTAGCAGCAGAGGAAGATTTGCATCACTGCTGTACATTTTGTTCCATAAAATTCGTACAGCTTTTACCTGAACCTTTTCAGTGCGTACGTTACAGTGATGACAAAATCTGTCCCATATTTCTTCACCCATGCCACGCAAGTAAACTGTCTCTCAGCATGACAATTCCCCTCACGTCTACCCACACCAAACAAGAAAACTGGCCGTCTCTGCGAATACATAACAATCCCACTCACCCTGAGCATGATGATTCCACTCACCCTGAGCATGCCAATTCCACTCACGTCAACCCACACCAATCAAGAAAACTGGCCGTCTCTGAGCACACACAACAATCCCACTCACCCTGAGAAGAACAATCCCACTCACCCTGAGCATGCCAATTCCACCCACGTCTACCCACATCAATCAAAAAAACTGGCCGTCTCTGAGCACACACAACAATCCCACTCACACTGAGAAGAACAATCCCACTCACCCTGAGCATGATAATCCCACTCACCTCACTCGGGGGCTGCTCCGAGGCTGCCTCGTCAGCTTCTGTTTCATCCTGATCTTCTCGCGCGAGGTATGCAAGGTAGAGGGTGAGATGTCCTTTCACTCGCGACCTAGAACTACAATAATAATAATAATAATAAAACATTTATATAGTGCATTTCCAAAAAAAGTAGCTCAATGACAAGGAGAGAATTTTTACAGAAAGGAGTTTAAAAAATAGAGCCGAAATTGTCCATGAAAATCACCAACTGTCGAAGAGAAAAGTGCTAGTCTGAGACAGAAAATGATTCACTTTTTTTTTTTACCCTTCCTCTTATACCTTATAAAATGGGTAGCAAAAAAAAATTAAGATAAGGATAAGATCAGATAAGATAATAATAATAATAATAATAATAATAATAGATAGCATTTGTATAGCCAATATCCCCGCTCAACAGCAGGCTCTATGCGCTTTACACTATATTATTACCCCAGCAGACCATAGAACACTCCGAAACATTCCCAGCTTCCCGGGAAGCATACAGTGCAAGCAGCCGATTAAGCCCTCAAACACTAACAAACTGACAAGATCGTTCGCTGTCTATAGCCGGGTACCCATTCCCACCTGGGTGAAGTGAGGAAAATTCGTGTAAAGTGCCTTTCCCAAGGACACAACGTCGGGCCCTTGACGGGATTCGAACCCACGACCTTACGGTTGCGAGTCCGAGAGCCTAACCACTAGGCCACCGACGCCACTACTTTAATATTATCTTATCTTATTATTTCAGTCCAACATACCTTCTTGGCCTCAGTACAAAATTTTTGCACGTTATGTCTCTTCCCTCTCTCTCTGTCGCAATATTCACATGATTCAAGGGTATTTCCACAAGACCAAGAAAATCATCTCGAGTCTGCAAAATCAGCAAAACCACAAATCAAACAGGTAATCACGATGGAGATCTCATTGCACTTAGCAAAATTAATTTTTCAACCTTTCATTTCTAAATTTATGTTTTCACAAAATGAAGATCCATTTTTCCACTTGAACAAAGCCCTTTTCATAATAATAAAAAAGATAAATTTCATGCATTTCCACTGAGAAAGAGCTCAACGCACTTTCAAATAGCTCATAGAACATTTGCACAATATCGCTCCATTAGAGATCCTTTCTCTCCATCGCTCGCTCTCTTTTCCCCACACTCTCTTTCCAGTACATGCAGAGTCACAAAACTTACATACACACCCACGTACACACCGATAACAGCACACAGTCACAAGTCACTGAACAGCATGAACAAACTCTCCGTACCAAAAGAACAAGGTGTGTACATTGAGAAAGTCAGTCATTACACACTAACGCTGGATGAAAAAAAATGTGAGTGTAGCCCAGATTTGAATTTTGATAAAGTGGTCAACTCCCTTGTGTGTGGGTAATACATTCCACAGGGAGGTTCTTGGGAAGCGTACAGTTCCACGATTGTCATGTTGTTCTTTTGGAGGGTTTCTATGACTCCGTCAATCCATCTTTTTCTTCGCTGTCTTTGTGCCCCTGACCCATGATATCGTGATGTAGGCCTTGTGGGCTGGTTCTTGTGGCCCCAGTCTCAAAACGTGTCCAAAACACCGAATTGTGATACAGCGTGGTGAAATCAGACTCTGGTCCAAATAATTAAAACGAAGAAAACGGTTTGCTTAACTCATTTTTATGTCAATTCAAGCTTACATTGTCGTGTGGATTTTATTGAAAAATGTTGGTTTAAGGAATAAAAAATATAACTGTAGTTTTCAAAGACTTAAGCTTTGGATGTCACCAAACTTTGGTGGCCATTCCCTCTCTTAATTTACCTCGGAAACCAGGTGACCCTACCTCCCTATAATGTTCTATCTGACATTTTTTACCGTTTGGAGTTACAAAGACCATGAGGCCAGAAACCAATAAGTGCTCCATCTGCAGCTTTATCAAAATCAGAAGCTTGTTCGGAGTCGTTATCAAGATACCATATTCAAAGAATTGCTTTCAAAAAAGCTTGACATGATGTGAAATTCAAAATCTTTGACGTCAATTTTTTCAAAAACTAGGTACTGAGCAGATAAAAACCTTGTAACTCTGAGGTACAGACTTGGCGTATCTTCTTCCACACTCAACACAAAAACTGCCAAAGTACAAAGCCCACATTTTAATTCTTCCCGCCTGAGACACAATGCTTTCAGGGTGACCCCCTTATCTTAATGCCGTCTCGGAACCTAGTTTAGCGTTTGTGGAACACACAGTAATTTAGCAGTCAGCATTTTCTGCTATCATTTTGATAAAAGATTAAGTAATTCCTTGTGTCCGTCTCCCGTCTGCATGGAGACCTCAGCATTTTGTCTCATCTGCTTCTTTGAGAAACTTTCTTCTAAGGGTCTTTTTGAATTATGCGCCAGAATAGTTGATGGTCTGTGCATGTTTTCGGTGTGTTTGTGTGTATCTTATTTTCATTTTAAAAGAAATAATACTATTGCCCCGGTGTGATTTTTATCTTCATACGACTCTCCCTTTCTTTATATTTCTTTTGTTTTCCTTCTTTTTTTTATCTTCTACTCCTCAAATCTCTCTTCCCTTCTCTTCTTCTTATTGTTCCTCCCCCCTTTTCTCCTCCTCTGCTTCCTCCTCTTCTTACTCCTCCTCCTCCTCTTCTTCTTTCTCCTCCTCCCTACCATTTGTGAACGAAACACCCGATTCGACTCACGACCTTGGTAAACAAACGAGTCCAATTTTGAAGGTCGCTATCAGATTTTTTCGAATCCCGTTTAATTGTTTTCAAAATGGTCGGTAGCTTTTACTCCTTCATGGAGAAAAAATCCCGCTGGTCAAACTCAATCAAATGATGTCGATTGGCAGTGGGTGCTCGGTAATAGTTTTTGCCCTAGCATGGAGGAAAATTTGGCTGACTCTGACTTAGTTTATCAAATTATGAATTGGAATGGACGAGTGCGCTCGCTATGCACCACCACTACCTGAGTACAACCGTCTGATGGACACAAGGTCTACCCTACCCACCACCACACTGAACGACACACTAACTTCTCTAGTCACCCAACACACCACCACACTGAACGACACACTAACTTCTCTAGTCACCCAACACACCACCACACTGAACGACACACTAACTTCTCTAGTCACCCAACACA